GAAGTCGACTTCTACTTTAAATTTACATAGGTTCAGCAAATGTCCAGTCAAAACAAAAAAGCCAAAGAAACGTAAATATTACAAAGAATGTCCGTATGAATAAAAATTATCAATGTACAATACCGGTACTTTAATAAAAAAGTACAAGTCGTCATTTTGCGCACAGTAACAAAGTTGTCGTTTGGAACCTTCTTGATGGAATACTATAACAATACTTATTAGTCCCGCCTTTTCGATATATCAACTTGAGTGTTGTTTACGATTTTAATAATAATAATAATAATAATAATAATAATAATAATAATAATAATAATAATAATAATAATAACAATAATAATAATAATAATAATAATAATAATAATAATAAATACATTCTTATATGGCGCATTTACAAAGCTCAATGCACCTTACAATGATGTACAAACAGAAGATAAATCTCAAAATCCCTATCTAATTAAGTTCACCATAATGCTTACTTAAAAGGAGGGTTATTTTTTACCCCACCTAAAGGGGTTACCTCACCTATCTGGGGTCTCCCACCTTCATGTAAACAGGCCCTTAAATATACGTACTGGAATCGGCATGGCTCGTTCCTCCTCGGGTTGTTGTGCATTTCTCTACTGGTTTCCCGTTCAGTTTTATTTACGCGGCATAGACTGAGCCCCATAGCTTTAATATTTAATAAGACCTCGCTCTCCAAGCGATGACACTGTGCAATATTAAAAGCTAAGAGATCCTTTCGTTGATAAACAAAGCGAGGCTCATTGTCAGCGACGGTAAAAAGAAGCTGGTTAGAAGTGTTTGGTTGCGTGAACTGCATGCCTTGTGCAGAAACATGAGTAGCATACGAGCAAGCTCTCTTGCAGGCTAAAACATGAGCCAAGGTAGGACCTGGATTCGGTGAAACGTCCATGCATTGTGTAAGATCTCTCGGCGGCAGAAATAGGCATACAAAACCATGTTTGTACCATGTTGTTATCAGACTTCTTGGCGTGATTCTTCAAAACTTTAGTTAATCGTACTCGTTGAGCTTCCAAGCTCCAAGTTTCGCTACTTTGACTCCGAAGACTGTTAGTCGTTTTAAAAGACGGACTTGGACTCCATATAACCAAAATTATTAGAAAAAATCGTGGAAATCGATCGCTCATGGAAGACGCGGTACGCGTGGCAGCCATTTACTCTCGCTACAGAAATTAAATGCTATTTTATTAAGAATACAAACACATAGGCTAGAGAAAAGGTGTTTAATTCAAACCAATCTCAAACTATTCCACCCAGCTGAATTTCACTTAACGAAATAAAACTAACGAATTTATCGAGAGACTCCGATAGACAGGGTTTCGGCTTCCAAAACCAGGCAAGCTCAACAAAAATCCCAAAACGCAATAGATTAGTAAAAACAGCATTTTCCAGGCGAAACCTAACTTATCGGGCGAGACTCGACTAGCCTGCGTGGCAGGCGCAAAAAGAAGAGGGAGAGGAGGACGGAGAAAAGCCTTTCGACGCCTGCTACGTAGGCCAAGACTCGACTGGAGGCTTCCATCCACATGTAATAGGGCACCAAAAACGTAGGTTCAAAAACGTCCCCAGAGTTTTTAAAGCGCCGGCTTTTAGTTTACATGTGAACAGACGAAATTGGAGGTTTTCGAATACTTATCCATCCAACATCCTTTGATCAAGACGACCACTTTTAAATAACACAAGTCACAATGTTTGATGATTATTTAAATAGAAACACGTTGTAAATGACAATGGTTAATGGGTTTTAAAATTCATAAAAATCGAGACGCAATTCACTTTTCAAATAGGGCAAAATTATTGTTTTGCAATTTAAAAGGCTGCGATCGACGCTTACACTTTTTTCGCGGAATCAACTGACTTGGTGTCAGTTTTTATGGCATGGGCGAGAAAAGTGCATCAATGGGCAAGAAAGCAACGTAGCTTTTTTGGTCACTATCTTGATTCGGACGCCGATTAGACTCCAAAAAAGTGACTCAGACTGAATAGTTCCTAAAAAACGAAATAGTTGTAGTACCCCTGCTCTACCAATGATGTATTGAGACTAGCTGGATCTTTTGTAATCAACAGGTCATAATTTTGTACTTACGCTTTATGCCACAGGTTTATTGTGACATGTCGGGAGGTGGCTGGACGCTCGCTGCTCGGTTTTCGAACGCTGATTCTAAAAACTGGATGCGAGATGATGCTTACTGGTGGTATGACATTCAGTCGTCACAGGGCTCGCCTACCAGCACTTCAAATAACTACGATATGATATCGGAAACGTTTTGGAAAGTCAAAGGAGATAACATTAAGATCACTCGAAGCGACGATGGCTCACACTCTGCCCTTCTCCGTACTTACTCTAATTGCTTAAGTTACAGAACCCTAAGAGGGTTTTTGTCCAGTTATGGAAGATTTACATATTCCAATCCCTGGTCTAATAATTACTGCCGCGGAAGCTGTCCAGTGTATTTTGGAGGCCGGTATAGTTCCATGCCAGAGTTCAATCAAGCGCACTGCAGCAGCAACATTCAAGGAAGCAGCCGCATTGGGTTCTGGTGTCAGTGGAGCACCGGTGATGGTTCGGTGATGATGTTTGGTGGAGGAGGAAGTGGCTGTAGTAGAGCAGATCATGGTATTGGTATTACTGAAGATAACGATGGTTCGTTTGATTCCTCAGGAACACCAGAGTATGATTTTGGTTATGATGCTGATTACTTGCCTTCATATTCATACTCCTTGAATTTGTGGATTCGCTGAATAGAATAGAATGGAATGGAATGGAATGATAAGAAAAGATTAGTCAGAATAAAACAAAATAGAAGAAGCTCCCTATAAGCGCTTTACAGCCACAATATGACTAAAAATTACAGAACAAAACTAGTGTGCCTAATAGTTATTAAAAATAAAAACACCATATTTTGAAACGATCAAGGCGAATTTCTATTTCCGCACTCCCACATTTTAACCAATACTTTAACACCGTTAAATCAGTCAAAAGGGTCCCACTCCCCGTTTAAAGTCTTTATCTACGTCATTATCGGGTTCATTAATGTAACAGAATGTAACGAGTGATTAATCGTAGCAAACAAAAATATTTAATTAGGTAGGTTGCGCGTTGTATATTCGAGTTGTCCTTATGAAATTACATTGAATGGCCGGCAGTAAGACATATTCAAACCTTATGCCACTGTAGTGTGTTAATGATTAAAAGCTGTGTCCTGATTCTACCAGTGATACTAGCGTTCCTTTTTGGGATCTAGAATGTCTCGGAATTTGAAAACTTTTGAGGCAATTAAGCAGGTCTGTGGTGTCTTACGTCTACTTTTAATGTTTTATATACGACCAAGTAAATTTTGAAGCCAACAGTTAGCGCAAAAGCTTACATCAAAGATACCTACCCTTTTTCTCTATTACGAAATTAATACTTTTCGAACTTTTTAAATTCATAGGATAACCTGTATGTTCTGAACGTGCGCTTGCTTTTGTCGGATTACGCAAACACGAAAGTGGCGGTAGTCTGTGCCAAGCTCTCGGTCAGTGGAGACCAGCGAAAAAGATGCGGTTTTCGCGCAGTTTTTCTCTATGCGGCTTTCCCCACTATCTTGGAACCTGGAACAGGCTAAAGTGGCGGCAGCGAAAAGTTAATTTATAAAGTGAATCCACTCTTTTTCAAACTACTGCTATAACATTGGTTCAGTTTGTCAAATGTAGGCGATCTTTCTCAAGTGGAACTCTTATGGACCGTATCCAAGTTCACTAAGAACTAAAAAAAACATTGTCGCCTTGTGCTTACGTCGTGTATAAAAAAATGGTCAAGTTCACGCCGTAAGCTTGCAGTGACAAAAGAAAATATACCGTGTGATGTACGCGTTGAGTTATTGTTTAACTTTTTAAACTAAATGTAGTTGCCGTCGCCTTTGTAGTTGTTTAAGCTTCCGCCGTTGGTAATAATGATCACTATGTAATGACTCAGGAAACAATTTAAATGCAAAGCTTCGGTAAAACGAGCAACAAAAACGAGCAGCTTGAATTTTCAAAATTGCCGCAAAACGAGTTCAAAAGCGATTTTGCGCGTTCAAATCTGTTTACAACCTGATTTTTTGATAGACAGGTTTGAGCATTCACGTGGGATAGTGTAGGTGGCGAGGTAAATTTCCACCACTAGCCACCTCCACTTCGGTGAATAATTGCTATTTATCTGATTTATCAGAATCATAATGTAGATGTTGTAGTTCATTTTTTATCTCAGGTACTTTTTGTATTTCTTTTGTTTTTTGGTATATGATGATGCATGCTAACGAAGTTGAAACAAAGGATCGAAAAATAAAAATTACCTGAGATAATTAAAAACTCAACTACAACATATAGTTTAGCCTAGTAACAAACGGTTCTAATTAATGTGGAAACTGCTTATCACAAAAATTGCATGTTTTGACAAGATCCAGGTGAATTTGTATTTCGCTATTTCGTATTAAACTCAGTTTTAACACTAATAGTACTTTGAAACCGGTAAATCCGCCAACGGAACCCCCCCTTTACTACCAACCCTTTAAAGTCAATAGTTACGCTACAGCTCTCAGTTATAGCATTCATTAATGTTACAAAATATAAAATGATTAAACGTAACAAACAAAAATGGTTAATTGGTCCTTGCGTTTGCCATTCTACACTTGTCCTTGTGAAATTGAATGACTGACAGTGAAGCCGCACTTAGTTTTCAGACCTTTATGCCACTGCAGTATTGTGACTATGGGAAGAGGCAGTGTCCTGGTTCTACCAGTGATACTAGCACTTCTTTTAGGATTAAGGATTTGTTACACTTTGAAAACGTATGAGCCAACGAAAGCAGGTTTGAGGGTCTTACGCACGCTTACTTTTAACGCTTTGTAACTTAATGAATTTTGTAGCAGTTGGTTTGCGCAAAGCTAATATAACTTCCCGTGCTCAGTTACCTCCAAGATGAAATAAATAAATTTCGAATTCCTGGCTTTCGCAGATTGCATATAACCTGTGGGTTCTAAGTGTGCGCGTGCTTTTGTCGGTAGGTTGCAACAATAGCATGAATAGGGAGCTTACGCCAAGGGGGAGGGGGGGGGGGGGTTAGAGTGCACAAAGATCAATGAAATATGGTTTAGACGTTCGGGGTGTGGGAGGAGTGGATATTGGCTGGGGTGTGTGGGGGGGGGGGTGTTGTGGTGGGGGGGGGGAAAAACGAGAGGGAGGGGGGGGCGGGGGGGGGGGGGGGGGGGGGGGGGGGGAAGCTACTTCCCATACATTCTCTTAAATGAAATCCAAACGATGTTCTCACAACTTGCAAAGCGATCAGCAAGGGTCTTGCCAGCGGATTTGTGTACTGATCATGCGCATTACGTCAAAAACCATAGATCAACGGTCTTGAGAAAAAAACAAAAACATGGCAGTCGAAGGCGGGACTGTTTCCCACTATTATATTTTGGTAATTCGCAAATTTATTGATTTTATGTCGCTTTTCAGACATAGTGTGTGGTTTTCTTTTTCTGTTAAACCATTTCCCTTTGTAGAGTTTGGAATATGCAACATATAGCTAGCTCCGTATAGCTGCAAAGAAAAGGCCGCCGAAGAGTTGAGCTATCGAGCAGTGTGTTTTGCTGCAAACCTTAGGAAAGTTAAAGTCGCTTCAAGGTACAGAGCTTTCCGTAGTAGTTGTGATTTGTTTTAGGATCGTTTTGAATTTTAACTTTGGAGTCAAGGTGTTGACTGATCGAAATAAACGAAGTGAAATGTTATGAAGTTTTAATATTTATTCAGTTATGATATGTAGAGCAGTAAGCTCATATTTATAAAGCTTTCTTGAATATACTTGCTTCCGATAAATTTGACACTTGTTCCAGTAATTTTTGTCAGCATCAAGTTATCCTTGCCCGGCAAAAACGATGTAACTTATAAATAAATCCATCGAGCGCGTTGTTGTTGGTTAGCTAACCTGGTTACGTTTTAGTTTCTTCCGCATTTCAGTACCGAAAGACAAATACGATACGGTATGCAAGAAAAACAAAGTTGCATGATATATTTTTTTTCAATTTTTTAAGCATTTCTGATTTCCTCTGTCGGTTCGCTTCAATTCTTGCTTCTAAAATATTTACTGTGGGAAAAATACTGTAATTATCCGCTGACCACCACACTGAGTGACCGCTTTGCAAGTTGTGAGAACATCGTTTCTCGGTCCCAGACCTCATCTCCCCCCCCCCCCCCCCCAAAAAACCCCCCCCCCCTGCGCAACCAACCACGACAGCGGGCGAACACACCCATTTATAAAAAAGTTTAAAAAAACCGCCGCCGGCTTACGCAAACACGAAAGTGACGGCAGCGAAAACGTCATTTATAAAGTGGATTCCGGATCCGGCCTTTTCAGCTGAACTATTGATATACTCTATTAACTTCAATTTGTCAAATGTAGACAATCTTTTCTGGAGCCGAATTCTTTTGGACCATACCCAAGTTAAGAACTGAAAAGAAAAAGAATATCCAACAACTCATAAAATAGAAAGAAGACAATCTGACCTACATATGCTCGACTGCAAAACAGCATAATTATATACTTTTTAGAAAATAAAATACACTTGTTGTTGATTAAGGCTGTTTGACTTTCTCCGCCTTTTCCTAGCTACTAAAAAATAGAGAGATTTTGAGTCACGCTTTAATACGGCATATGGCAAACGTCAGATTCAAAATGAGAATTCAGCTGAAAGTTTCTCAAAATAGAAAATAACCAGATAAAACAGCTCAGAACAATTGAAATGTACAAAAATTGCGTGAAACAAGTAATTTCTGAGTAAAAGCAATGAACAGTAAACAACAATAAAGGGAAAAGTTGGTCACGTAGTAGTGCAAAGATCACGTTTCCCGTTTGAAGTAAACGGGATTCTAAAATTATGTGCAAACAATGTGTCTAGCCCTTCCTTGACAGAGTACGTGGGCAATTACTAATGATTTTTGTTGTGTAGGCGTAACAAGCAATGCTTCAATATACTCACACCCTATTTTGCAATATCAAGAAGGAAGGGAAGAAAACAAAGATGGGTCTAACCTTTTGGTTCAACATCGCGTCAGAAAGGGAGTTGGTGGGTAATTTCAATTTTAACTGAGATGCTGACATGTGGGAGTTCTTTTTCTTTTAGGTATCGGTCAAAGAAAAAAATCAGAGTTGGTTTGCAAACAAATAACCATCCTATATATTTGTCTATTTGTTATATTATTATTTGTTGTTTACTGTTGCTTTTATTATTTACTCTTGTTTTGACATGACGCGGAGTTGACATACGACCTTACCTTGGAACAAATTCAATACAGCTAGTACTGTGATCGGAAGAGTAATCTTAAACACTGATCGCTGTTGGACCAACACTTGTATTACAGCTTAGTTCTACAATATACCGGCCTGAAAAATATCTCATTTTCAGAGGATCTCCTACTTAGATTGTTCCGAACGCCCTTTTACAACATTTTCTCGGTAAAAACTGCAGTGAAAATAAACACTTGCATTTTTTTTCAAACAGTACTTAACAACGTTTCAGAAGTTTTCGTTCAGTTGTTTTTGTTGCTGAAGTGTAGTTGTGTTTCTTATGCATTTTGTTTTTTTTTTTTATTGTTCATTTAGTTGCTTTTTTTCTGTATTGGCTAGACTGTTGCAAGTTCAGGTACTTTTTCTACCACAGGTAATGACCTAAATGAATTGAGGGACAAAGCAAAAAAAGCTAATTCAGCTTACAAATGGATAAAAGTGAATTGGAAGAAAATTTTTGTGATCATTGTTGCGATATTTGCATTGATTGTTGTCGTGGGAATCTATCGAAGGTGTTTCTCTGATTCAGGGTAAGTTGAAGTCTTTTAATGACCGTTATGCAAAAATACATGAATTAGCACTGACACAGGTACTGACATAAAAGATCGGGAGCAGTGGATAGGATTAGATTATAATTAGTTGACTTCGTGAATCTGGCTGGTTAGGCCTTTGTTGCATTGTTCCCCTAAGTATATATACAACCCGGTGCTAGCGAAAGGCTGCGTCAGGCTGCGTGTATTAATAAACTATGCACCCATTGCTGTGCCAAAAAAGGGAGATCTGCGTAATTCGATTTCAGGTCTAGCTTACAGAATAACTGCCACAGAAAATGACATATGAATCTTCCACGAAAATATACTCGTCTGGCTATAAATCAATTGCGTCTTGACTAGATCGATCGAATTACCGGCGGAGCTTAATCTCCATCTTATCCAGGGTCCGAAATTGCGCCTTCCTGGTCGCCAATGCGACTAAAAATGTAGTCCTGGTGACCAGAAGTTCAAAGCTGGTCGCCAGCTAGCGACTTGTAAAGCTGGTTGTTATTGTGGAGAAGAAACTGATTAAGAATTGAAACCTCGAAGCTATTTGCAAACAGGTGTCTTCCGTTTTGTCCTGCTGATATTTTTTAATTAAAAGTGAAACGAATCTTCCTGTAATAATACCTCCACAACAGCTACGATCAATACGAGTTGGACGTTTCCAAGCCGCCATGTTGTTTTCAGCTGAAATACGGTAAGTACGTTATGTACTTTGTGGACTGGTACGAGTAATGTGGTACAGTCGTGGCCTGGTATGACATGGCGGCTTGACTCGTGTTTACGTTTCTTGGTAGTTATCGGAGGAAAATAGAGTTTTGACATGATCAGTGCAGTCATGGGCAGACAGCTTCTGTTCCTACGTTCTAGGTCAGATAGCTTTATATCTCCAACAAGTAATTTATGGAGAAAATAAGACTTCACTCGTACACGTACGGTTGCTTTCTGGTATTGGGAGCGAAAACGTCCATACCATGCATTTTTTATTCGTGTTTAAACTTTTATTGAAAAAAAGGGAGGGGGGATTTTTAGCGACCACAATTTGCCCTCTGGCGACCAAAAATTTATACTTGATCGCCAGTTGGCGTCAGTATTAAAAAGTTAATTTCGGACCCTGTTATCTAAATTATTGCGGTCTCTTGCCTTTGTTTATATTATGTAAAGATAATGTACACTTTAAGTGCTGCGACCGTCCGTTCAATGGGTAAAAAATTCACTTACAGTATCAGATTAACATAACGACTCGAGAGGAGGAGTAACTTTAAACTGTCCATAAAACCTCCAGTGTTATTTTAGCCCTTTTTTTGCCATTTTTTAACTGAGTTCGACAGCTTCGTGAAATAGTTTTCAAAGAAGAATATCAGTATATCTGCTGCAATTTTGTCGTTTTTTGATTTTTTTTTTTAGCTCTGATGAAGACGACGTTCAACCCAATATTGTCGTTTTAAAAATGCAAAAGCCAGACACGAAAGGCAATGGTGAATTTGACGACCGGATCGTGAGGGAAGGACTCACTCAGGGAAATAATCATGGCACATGGGAAGGAAAAGGTCTCCAAAAGGCCACTCATGACTCTGAGATCAAAGGTCACACAGGCAAAAAGGTCGCAGATAAATTGGCAACTACTGGAAAAGCTCGAAGCCAGACCTTAAGAGCCTTCGCCACGTCAAGAAACGTTTATTTCAAAGACATAATAGACTTCGCACCTGCGACTTCAAACTCTTTTTTTAAAAATGGCGGATTCATCGTCTTAAGATGGATAGTATTCCTGTTTCTGGATATACTACTTTTCAGCAGGGAGACTTTTCTTTGCTCTACTTTCATTTCTCTAAGCAGCTTTTCAAAGTGAAAGCACAGGCAGACCAACTAAGCGTCCAATCTACAATGACCCGGCAGGGAAGCCTGAGCAAAGGTCCCTTTCCGTTCTACGAGGAAATACCGTTGATAAAAATGTTGGTAATGTCGTCAAAAGAAAAATACTGTGACGATTATGTGCCAGTTGCTCACACAAACACCAACATACCCTTGACTGTTTCACCTTAAAAAGTGCATCTTCTGTGCAAAAGATCGGACCTCCGGATATCTTGTTGGACGTACGTTTAACCAGTCAATCTGTCGTATCAAGTAACAAGTATATTTCCTTAGCCCACGTGGCTCAGTAGTTGTAGTTCTTCGACGACGCCCCTTTTTATTATTTGAATTCAAAGGCAGATCAAATTATTCAGCATCAAACTAACTCAGATTCAAACAGTTTCTTGTTAGTACAGTTTTTTCAACACGTCCTTCCTGACAGTGGAAATCAATTTGGTTGCACAAATTTCACAACCAAAGTTAGGATAAGGACTTAAAAACAATGCTCTTTTAGAACTCCTTATGTTATAATGCAGAATCTGCAGGCGCCTCCCCTGGATCTGTCACTGTTACTACAGGTGATCTATATCTGGCAAAACTCATTTTGTTTACAAACAACAGTCATTCAATCAGCTGATTATTAATGACTTCAACATTCTGCTGAAAGACTATGCAAATAAAACCTTTGCCTGCTGGCCATGTTGTGTGTTTTGATAACATCAGGATGACAGTTAAATGCCTTCAGGCCAGTTATTCAAAGGTCGATTAGTACTTAACCCGAGGTTAAATTTAACCCGGGTTTCTTTTTCCTGAGTTTAAAAGCATTTTCTCGGATAATTTTCTCTGTTATTTTTAAAGTTTTCAATAATCAACTTGTTGACAAAAAGAATTAAAACTGAAATGATTTTTATGCTTTCATATCTGAATTCAAATCTCGCACTAACCCAAAAAGGTTAGTGCGAGATAGCCCCACACTAGAGAAATTGAGCCTACACATATTTTTAGTCACATTTAAGCAACTCAAACAATGTAGGGCCATCACCAGTGTCAAATACTTGATTTAACTTAAAAGCCACTTTACAACACAATCTGTTAATCAAGAGTAACCACTCACTCTTGGTTCTGAACCTTCCTGTCTTACACAGTGTCATAATGTGAATACCACGAAAGCCAGGATGCAGGCCTGATGAAGTTACATTGTGGTCTGTGTCTCCAGCTTCGGGATTACAACTGTTCACAATTAGAAACTTTCCACCTTTTATATGAGTTTATTTGCTCGCAAATAAAAAAATTTATGTCACCTACACAATAATATGTAGTTATTTACACAGTTTAATGTAGGGTCGAGGTGGTTGATTTTGTGACCTGATAATGTTCGTCGACATGTACAGGTGATTCTCTTGACCTTTGCTTCTTACTATATAATAGGCAAAAGGTACAGTCATGTAAAGTATCGATCACAAGATAATCAGGAGATCTCAGGGACCACTTATATCCCTGGAACGCGTTCAGTAAAATTACTATAGTCCTCGTTCCGTACATTTACTCAGCATGTGCAGTAATTTTACTCTCCACGTTTTCAGTATGTAAAATTACACAATCGCATGATCGTCTTTCTCGAGGAGTTATAAGGTGTGAACAACTTCAATTCCACTCACAATTTGCAAGCTCAATCTTCGGACGTTCAAGAAATCAACCCACCTCCACCCCATTTCTCCTCCAATGTGTAATTAAGTTTTGGTTTACATCATGTTTTGCCTTTTATCGTGGCCCTCACCTTTGCTAGAGCTTAAATAAATTACTTTTAGTTTCTTATTTCTTGGATTTCTTAGCTATGTAAATAAAAGCGGCCATCTGGAATGGCCAGAATTTTAATCCCAACTGTTTGTTGCTATTTTTTATGCACTCTAGCAAACTAAGCTTGGCTGTTGACATTAAGTGCACTCGGAGTTGGTATTATTTTACCATATTCGTGAAAGGGGACATAAAAGAACTTTATGACAGTTTTCCAAGACTTTGATCATTTCATCATCGGTAAAAATTACAAACAAGTTTTTGACAATGATGGTATCCACTTCTGTTGATTGCGGCACATCTTTCAGGATATTTCCCATAGTAAATGTTATTCGATTATCAGGAAATCCCTCTTTTGCTAACAACTTTTGGGCACGCTCAATAACACCTGGGAAATCGAATAGAACCCCGTTGACGTTTCGTTTTATCTATATAAGAATTGTTCTGGACAGTTTTTATCTGTTTATTTTCTATTCTAAGAAATTCTCAACTTGAATCTGACGTTTGCCGCCAACGTGACTCGTAATCTCCCTAATGTGTCCTTCTCCCCCTCCCCCTCCCCCTTCCCCTTCCTTCCTATTTTTCGCTCTCGTCCCAGCTTTCTACGCAAGGTCACGCGGAAACGCTTTTACTGGTTCCCTGAGTGAGCGCCTGATTTTTTCTTCCATCAGTAGTTCAAGTAGCCAGTTCTTGTATTTTCAGATCTAAAAGCAATGTGCTCATAGCACAAAGCCTGATCGTTTTACCTTTACCATCATTTCGCAGCGTAATAAGGCTTGTAAGTTGAGACTGTGCTGCGATTCGTCGCCAGCCAATGAATTAAATTTCCACATAGTCCGTTATATTAAATATTACCGTTATAATAATTATCGTAGGGAATCCAAGAATAGACTTCAAGAACTTTGTCATTGAAGACTCGAAAACATTTACGTAAGGAATTTGCGAATATTGATGCTATTGCACAAGGGCTCTCACATCCCATTTGATTGTAATAAATAAAAAAGACTACGTTCTTCATCGTATGTGGGCGTGTGGCGAGAGATCGGATCGATCTTCCGCCTGAGTATTACGGGTTGCGTGGGCAAAGGGAGAAGAAAGAAGCGAGAAGGGGAGAAGGCTTAATACCTTCCCCCTCCCTCCTCCGTCCTATTACATCTATTCCCCCTAACTTCTAAGAAAGGCAAGATACACTATGTTTACTCAGGCTGGAGAATTTTCGGAATATGCGACCGTCCCAAGACCCACAAATCTTCTCCGTTCCAGACCTCAAACCAGCTGACGGCAAAATTCAAAATGGATGCCAAAGAAAACACAACGTCATTCATGTAACTATAATCTGTTCAGATGTGAGCAACCTGTGCAAGGGCTTTTTTTTGGGGGGGGGGTGGGGGGAGGGGGGGGTGGGAGTGAACTTTCTTTGCTCTACCTTATGCCCATCCCCCACGCCTTGAGATTGCGCCCAGGCTACCATAGTGCAATACCCTAGCTACTACTATCATCGTTACGAGAAAATCGTCTTTGGTCTAGGCCTATAACGCATGCGTGGGAAGGTGGAGTTTCCTTGTCCAAGACAGACACGTCTCTTATCAAGATGTGCGTGACTAAAGCGGAGTACGATGAACATAGCAAGGATATTTGTAGAGAAAAACTTGACTCGTAACGTCATGGATACACATCGCTCAGAACTGATGTTATAACTATGCGCCATGAAGAATCAAAGAAAAGTAGGTAAAAGGCTGCGAGGAAGCTGTGTCTTTGTTGGCCTGTGCCTCTTAATAGGTGATCAAGATTTCATGCGCGACGTATGACCAACTATGTGCGTATGACGCTCAAGTTAGAGACATCTAAGGAAATTTCCCGGCGCCCTCGTCAAAACCACTGGCCGGGGTTGTAACTATGCATTTCTACCGCCTGTTGTTCACTGGCATGAATTCTGATCGGTAGAAACTATTCCTCTTGCAGGACTGAATTTTGCAGTTAGTAACGGTTTTAGCTCGGCCCCTTGGTGCTGTTCATACATTCGTCTTTCTTCTTATGTTGACGGAAATGATTTTCACACTTGTGTTAAATCTACACCCAAAATTAAAAGCAATAAAGGGAATCTCCTTTATTTATTTTTAGATTTCAGTGGAATGCGAGGTAGGGGTAAAGGAGAGGAGTGAGTATGAGCAGGACTTTGTTTTCCAGAAGCAGATTAAGTTCTAACCATGTGATTGCCTCTGTTACCCAACTGCAACTTAACCTTGTAATCCATAAAGTAATGTCCCTTTACAGGTACTTATTGTTACCTAGCTAATTTTGTAAAGGTTAATAGGTAATCTTTATTCTCCATGAAGACCTGCACGAACAGAATTTCTTGGACAAGTCATTGTTTTCGAAGTTGTCGAGTAAGTGTTCAGTCCCAAATGTTCTCTTCGCTTTAATATGGAGTCCGCTTTTCAAAACATGTCACAGTCCAAGCTCATTAACAAGGTGTATGTGTACTGCACGGTACGAAGTGGGAAAGTGAAAATGAAATATTTATTCTGCCATTAATTTTTTTTTTATTTCAGTTCATTTTTATTTTTCCTTTGTTTCAAATTCTTTAGCATACATTACTATACCCAAAAACAAAGAAAATCAAAAATCAACTGACATGAAAAATTAACTGCAACATTACGTCTGCCTTATCTCGTCAGTCTGAGGAAAGTTGGCAAAGCTCCGCTTTAGAAGTTTCACGTCCTAAAGTAGAATGAGTTACAATTCCCATCAATATTAAAGGATTAAGAAATGACTACCATTCGTTGTTATTTTTGAAGATCAATGTAAAGTCATTTTCCCAGAGCTTGACAGATGGCCTGGCACAATCCTATCGTAATTTTAATAAATCACCGACGTCACCTTCATTATCGATCAAGTTCTATATTCTCAACACTGCTTTCAATCTGATCAGAATGCAGTTTTCATTTTCTACTCCCTCATTATTTTACTTCCGGTTTGTTAAAATGTTATATTCTCTTAAAATTTTACTCGGAAACAGTAAATGAGAATATTTTCCTCGATCAATTGAATCGATACAGCCTTTTAATGGCAAACGAGGCGAGAATTCGTCAGAGGTATCGACGACACCCGAAGCGCACATGTCAAGCCCCGAGAAGCTGCATCTTACCCTTATTTTCACCAGGCACAATTCACATCCTCAGTTTGAAGTTTTGAGGTTGTTGTTCTCCTCCTTCTCTTTCACTGTAGTGTCAAGGGTCATCAAGCAGTTTAGTTTACGCGTACTCTAATATCCTCTGTGACATTGCTGAATGGTTTCTTAATATTCTTAAAACTTTACGGAGCGCTTTAACAAAAATTCCGTCTTGTTAAGAAAAGTAATTTGTAACCGCGCAGAGTGGCCAGTTTACAGAAGATAGCTTTTGACCAAACCAAAATGAGCCGCCATTCCACCTCGCTGATTGTTCCATGACCCAATGGCTCTACAATTTCCACTTTCAGGACAAAGTCTTCTGCAGCATGGAACGGTTAATTTCACCGTTGTATCTCCAAGCCTGCTACACTGAAGAACCGTGCAATATCCTCAGGTATTTTCCAGCTCCAGTAACATCCGTGTTCTTGCATCCATCAGCCATGAAAACAAATCGCTAAGTGTGCACGATTCAGCAGTCGTTTGGACTACAGATGTGACACAGAACAGCTTCCGCATTTGCGTGCTAGAGTCAGGCCTTGGTACTAATGGATCCGCTGTAGTGAACTGGATTGCGTTTCGTGGCACGCCCTCTGGCGCCTTCGACGGCGCCGCCTCCTTCAACGCGTTCACCAGCGGAACAAAATGTGAAAGAGTTGACTTTGCTCAGGCATAGTTTCGATGCCGCGTTGTTTTCTTTTTAAGCGTTCACAAATTATTTGTAGAAACCAACAGGGCGTCTTAGAACTGGTGAAATTTTCCAGAGAGTTAGCTACATTGGGAGAAGAGTAGGGATGCTTTCTCCCTACCCGTATCAGTACGGACAATTATTGGGATGGTTGCCAGGGGGAAGTTAAGTACTTACTTGTATGGTTTATTGATATTTAACTTAGAAATGTCACCGCAATGTTCCCACTTAGTTATACTTAACGAGATAATGCTACTCGAGGGACTTTCAGCTTTTGTAACAAATGTTTATATAACGCCCAGTTACAAAAACAATGGGAATAAAAGACCATTGTGGATTATGTCTATTCCTGACCATCAAGAATTATTGCGTTTTGAGCGATTAAGTTAGAAAGAACCAACATTTTAAGCTTTTGTTAAAATAATATTTACCTGACTGTCAATTCCAAAGTTTCTTTGAGGGGAGGGGTAAACTGCCCACCTACCCCTCTCTTAACGCAAGTAGACAATAGCTTCTAAATAAGCCAAAAAGTTTGATTAAGGGAAGGGTAGGCAGGCAATCCTAGACCCTAGAATCTTATACCGATCAAAGGCCAGAGTACTCTGGGTGTTACTATAATATCGAGAAATGATGTAATCATTATGTCACGAGCATAGGACAATGGAAAAATCTGAGTCTCCGAGAGGAATTGAACCTATGGCCTTCCGAACACCGGTCGGATGCTCTAATCACTAAGCTGTTCGTATTCCGTAAACTCAGTACTGGGCTTATACATCTTCGTAGGGGGTGTTAGGATCGCTAATGGGGCTTATAAAACGCTTCGAAACAAGCTACAGCAAAGCTTGTCAAAATTCGTTTTGTATTTATTGGGTTTTAATCAAGCGTCAAACATGATAGTTGCAGCGAGAATGGGGTCCTATTTCTTTTTTCTACAAGATTTGCCCAGAGTTATACGCGTTTCGCCTCGAGTTTTCTCAAACTTTCCGCACTCATGTTGGCACTTGCATCTTAGCCTATTCCTATTCCTAACGTGAAGACCGTCGTTGAATTGAATTAAACCATGATGTGCTAGGGACAGCTGCTTTGTACATGTTATTATAAAAATATTCAAAATCCTTGTCAACCGAAACAGCAGCTTTAATAGCTTCCATCTTGGTTTGCAGAGGTTTCCTTCTGTCCCAAAAGTGTTGGCAACTGTACGTCATACGAGCATCAGCATGCCACAGGACGCCATGAACATGTGGATAGAAGAGTTGCAGGAAGACCACTTTAGAGTCTGCCTGCGGGAAGTAAAAACATTTGACGGCAAGCACCAAAATATTCAGGTGGTAAGTTGGTCTGTTACGTGAGTTTTAATTGTTTGTGAGCAATAATTTGCACACGAGCTCTGTTGTTGGATACAGTTTTTGAATTTATTCATTTAACAATGAGGATTATCAAAACACAGTTAGAGTTTTCTGTCATTTTCAGTTGAGTCTTATGAAGTAATAAGAGTCTACTAAGGTAAAAGTAAAATGAAATATTGGGCTGGTCTGTTAAGATTATCAAATCGCCGAAAAAGCCTCAGTGATCTTCTGATTCCTTTTGTTAAAATTTCACCATCCGGAAGAGTTATTAGCTTTGTCAGTTTTACAATTACAGGATCCTCTTTATACAGCAAATACTAAATTAGCAGCTGATTACAACAAGTTGTTTTGTTTTCTAGGACTGGTTGGCCTTTACGCAGGGAACTGGTGAGATGACATTCCATGGAAAACTTCAGTTTGAAAACGATGGGGCTCCACTGGAACGAGACAACTTCGCTTTCTGCAAGGTAATAGACAAATTTGGTAGTGGGACGTTGAAAAGGTAGATATTTGAAATTTTACTAGCAACTTATTTGTCTTGTAGTTGGTAGAGCCAAGCCATGATGAACTAGGCTACAAATCAAAGAATTCAATCCGCTTTGGATTTTAGGAAGTAATACAAATATCATGTCTTGTGTTGCCTTAAACATGTGTAGCAAATGTAAAACGTGATGAGAATAAGGGAGAATGGTACTTTTGCCTTTCCTTTTTCGTCTCTCCTCCCCTTTCCCTGTCCTTTTTATCAATAATTGCAGGCTAACTTTGCTTCTTGTCCTTTCTTTACAGGTTCTTAACTATACCGAGACGTTTTATGCACCTCCCGTTGTTATGGTAACAGTCAGTCATCTTTATGACAGCAATAACGTTTATTCTGTTAAGCCGGAGAACAATGTTCTGAACGCCTGGATAGAGGTAAAATAGCGATTTTTTACTGTCATCCGTACGCTTAATTGCAACTTGAAAATTAATTTATTTTTACTTTAAAGTAGGCTGCTAACTGATAGATCCCCAACATGTTTATGTGTTATCTAAAGTAATGCGGTGAGTGTTTACGATTTGTGACCACAGGAAATAACGATTTCAACTTTTCGCGTATGCGTTACGGACTTGGCAGGAAAGGAGAGCCAACATGATCCGGTTACTGTTCATTACACAGTTATTGGAGGTAAATATTCCAGAACTAAGATGCAGTGTTACTGTCGCTTTTGCGTTGCCTTAGCATTTCTTTAGTTTCGATCTCATAGGCCTCTTGAAACTACTGCAAGGGATGGTTGAAAGAAGGCTCAAAGAACACTTTCACTCAGTGCTGCCCTTATGTTTCTCGTACTCGATTCGAAGATCCTAATAAGTAACGATGAGTTAGGACTTATAGATCTAAACAAATTACAGAAACAGTTAGCAAATTAAGTCACAATTAAAATAATAAATTAAATGAATGAATAAATAAATAGATAAATAAATAAATAAATAAACTTACATATGATCTGGCCAAGATTTGACATTTTGAATTGTTGTGTGTATCATTTGTTCACAGATCTTGACCCGTGCATCAATGTTTCCTGCAAGTACTTTGCAGTCTGCAAGGCGTTTGGTCCCAGGGACGCGCGGTACATTTGCGTGGATAATTGTCCCTCATTCGAGGAGCCTGTGTGTTCCTCCAATGGAACTACATACGATAACGAGTGTGTGTTCCAGCGAGAAATGTGCCATCTCCGGGCAAACTTCACTGTCTATCATCCAGGAGATTGTACAGGTAATTTTGCTTGTGAGTCATCATGTTTTGTTGCATTTTTTAGACAAGTAAGTTCTTCATTGTTTACTAGCTCCCTGCGGTGTGAATAATCTCACAGTTGAATAAACCTCCTCATGATTTTCACTCGTGAGTAACGTTTGATGTTACCAGCAAGGCAGTGTTTAAATTCCGCTGACGTACCTTCTCAAAAATTTGGTTCCAATTTCCTTTTAAATTCAGTCTTGATGAAAGCTTGGTTAATAGAGGCTTTATAGTTTCTAGTTGCCAAGCTCTGCTGTCTTCTTTGTGGCTTTTCTTAAATTCAATTCAGTCTTGGCTGGACATTTATTAACCAAACAGTCTTACAAGTTTTTGTTGTTGTTGTTGTTGTTGTTGTTATTGTTTGTTTTCAGGATTCCCTTCCCAAAAAGGCCGTCATCGCCTCAGTCACAACCCAGTCTGGGCTGAAGCAGTTTGCGAACAAGTTCCACTGGAACCTTACGTCTTTTATCCTGACAAACCGGTTTAAATACAGGTTTCTGTCAATCACGTGAACTTCTCAGACCCAGCCTATGTTCACGAGGCAGTGGTTGCTTGGGTTGAAGACATCATGGCGAACAATTTCACAGTTTGCGTCACACAGGCTGGTAGAAACGAGAAGAGAAATGGAGAAACGTTTGCCACAGTGGACTGGCTGGCATACCAAGGAGCCCCTGACGGGGGAGTGTCGGGTGAGATGGATATGCCAACCTGGTGGACTGGGACGAGCTGTCGTACAGTATCGCTACCCTCGGTGAGTTCAATTTGTAGTATTCTCAAGTTCATTTGCAGTGTCTTTGGACTAAATCAGCAATAGTACATGAGAGATAGGACTCTTACGGACCTGAAAAGATACTAAAATTCCACATGAAAGTGATTCCTATAGGGTATAAAGGAAGGAAATGATAAAGAAAAGGAGATTTTCATTTATTTTTTATTTGCATGCTTTAGTAGACCTTTAATAAAATATATTTACATAAAATACTTTTTTCCTATCATTAACTTTAAATTGTTGGATTTATATAGCTGTCTTAACATCGCATATTTTAAGTAATTCGAACATGATACCACCGTTTCTTTTTTCTTGGAAAATGTAACAAGAATTCCGTTTTTAGGTTTTAATTCTATATTAAAAATGTATTTGAAACCTTTTTCTAACAATGTTCCCTCTGATTGTTGTCATCACAGAGAAAGTTTACTTCAGCGCCCACAGTCCTAGTGTCAGCGGAGCATGAAAGACGCGGTGTAAAGCATGATGCTTCCTCTGTTTGGGTTGAAGATGTCATAACAACCTCCTTCAAGACCTGCGTCAGAGAGTTACAAAACTTTGACGGCGCTCATGAAAGCATTCATATTGTAAGCTGCTTCGTTTATTTGTTATTTGCACTTTTAACCACGGGAGTACGCACTTTATGCTCATTTGACGGTCTGGTGGTCCAATTACCCTTTATACAACACTTTTCTGCTGAGAATGCAGAAGTTTAGGCAAAATAGGGCATTATTGAAATTACGAAGAATGTTGTTGGAAATAAAATTGTCTTTAGGGTTTGAAAACCTTTTTTACATTTGCCTTGATAGTTTTATATTGAAAGCTAAGTTACTGTACGACTTTACCTCTTTTGCTTTGGCTTTAAAATTACAATTTGTTTAGTGTAGCACATGTGTGATACGATTGCCAGAAAAAAAGAAAAGAAAAGAAAACTAAGGGCTTTTTTTTAAACTTATGTAGTATCAACTTCCGTCTAACACAATTTTCATTTTTTTTTTTTTATATAAATTATTTTATACTCCCCCAACTTGAAATGGTAATCTGTTAACCTGACAACTAATTTCTCCGTTGGCAGGATTGGATAGCTTTTGAAGAACTTCATCGACCACTTTTCAGAGAGCATGGTGCTATTTACTTTTCCAATGTGAACAAGCCATCTAAGGATATGAACTATGCCTTTTGTGAGGTATGTTCTCTCTTTTCTCCGCTGGAATGACCTTCTTTCCAACCGAACTCCCCTCGACTCAGTGAGTCGCCCACTCACTTGCGCCTATTATGGTTCGAATGCTTTCTGCTTGCGGTTTTTATTCATACCCTCTGTTATCTTGGATATATACACGAAGGTGATTCCCATGTTCAACTCCAAGACCCGCTTTGTACTGAAATAACAAAATTGTCATTCTCCTACTGCTGGGATGTCTTAAATTTCGTTTCCGCTTTGAAATGTTAATGTTATATTTAACACTAGCCTTGATTAATGCTTCAATTTTCGCTTTCTCACTTGTTTTTCTTTTCTTTTGTAAGGACGTTGTCTTCAAGAAGCATTACAATGACTCTCCCGAAGTCCTGGTGTGTGCAAACCATACAAAGAGCGGAGGAAACCTTAATCCACTGTACAACTCCATATCAGCTTGGGCTGAGGTTAGAAGTTATTTTAAAACGAAAGAGCGATTTTTCAATCAATAAGCGTTATAAATTTTCATTTCAATTTTTTCTAAACAAGGTCTTTACATAGGTGCGTCGCGGTGTAGGAAGTGAGTCATGTGAGTTTATGAATAAGTTGCCTCCCTTGCCCTCTGTCATGGGGTTGTAGTATGATAGCAACAGGTGTCAATAAAACGCGGAAGTGCAGACGGGGTCCATTGTTTTTCTTACTTGTTTTCTTTCGTTTTCTCCTAAACAAAACAGAAAAAGAAATAAAAAATAAAACAAATCAGCAAAGAGAAAGACAGTGGATCCCGACCCCGATGGCGAATTGGCGTTTTACTGACAATTTATACTATGGGGCTCAGGGGATGTCACTACGAGCGTTTTTGACTGCAGCTGACAGTGAAGCGACAGCTTTTAGCAGCCAGTTCTCTCTAATTACTGCGCCGTTTCTCTGTCAGTACATAAACAAGACCGGTTTTAGAGCCTGCGTGAAGGAGCTGTTTGTACAACAACATGATCCTCTGTCAGTATCATATGCAGTCTTACCAGGTGAGAAAGCTTTGAAATTTTTATGATGTCACTCGGCAATACGTGTGCATACTGATAACTGATTATGAAACTATCTTCAATGAAGTCCATCCTGACTGCGTTGTAGCATGACGAGAGAGAGTCGTGGATGGGAAGACAACAGACGTGCCCTCTTACAACACATTTTTAACATGTGAACAGTAAGCTCGGAGGTCAGCATACAAAGGCGCCACTGGCAGCCTCTCTCAGTCCATTGATGAGCTTACTTTACCCACCCAACCCATGATGTGATGTGTGAAGGATGACCACAACACCGGGGTCTACGTCCCCTACTCTTTTCGAACAGTGGCTTGGGTTCTTTTATGTCTCACAAGAACCAGATAAGTGTAAGAGCTTGTAAGTGCTGTGAGACGGGACCTACGGTTTTTCGTCCTTATCCGAGAAGCTAGAAAGTCTAACCGTTTGCAGATGTCATTACAAAGGCAGCACTTTCTTTTCAGTTATTTAAAGACCCTGAGTGTTGGTCCGGCCAGGGTTCGAGCCCGTGACCTTCAGCTCAGCAGACCGGCGCTCTCCCAAGGCGGTGGTATGACAAGAAGGTCTTCAATGCAGTCGAGCAGACGGGCGATCTTTTCTTTTCTTATTTTTTTCCTGGCATATAGCCACTGCAAGCTACAAAACTTCTTTGTTTTTGTGAGAGTAGTCAGTTTATTTGGTCCTTTCTTTAGAGCTGGAGAGAAGACGTATTTCTTATCTTATTTCCATCCATTTTTGTGTTCTAAAGATGTTTGTTCACCCTGATGGAGCTTCTACAACGGTTCCTGTTACTTAACAAGTGAAAAATCGGTGAGACTTGGACCAACGCAAGTTTAATCTGCCGATCCATGGGAGCTAATCTACCTGCCATTGAAAGCCAGGAAGAAAACGTATATGTTCAGCACAGACACAACGGTGATAAGGCTTGGATTGGTTTGAATGATATTGCCACTGAAGGAGTATTCCCTTGGGTAGATGGCTGTCCTTTTAAATTCCGGTACTGGGCTCAGAATCAACCAAACAACTTCAGAGGTGAAGATTGTGTTCACACCCTTGGACCAGGACATGGGTACATGTGGAATGATGTGGATTGTTCTACTTGCCATGCACCAATACACTTGCAAGAAAGGTAACTAAAATGTCTTTTCTAGCTCGAGTGACAGTTGCATACATCGTCTTCAGGAGCACATTGACTGGAAAATTTAACACCATCTGTATCAATGGTCGCGTGGCTTATCGTATGGCTTTTTGTTTGAAAACAGTTTTCTTTAGTTAGTAGCTAGCCTATTGTACCCGACCAGTAAAAAGTCGTAAATTAGCCATTGTTTATAAGACGGGTCAAGCTGTTTTTTTTGTTGGTGAATGGGATTTTTAGGATACTCACTGAACTTGACACGACACTACAGCTGTATTACATTATGCATGTGCATACAGCTGCTTGTATAATGGCATGCAAGCATTTTTGTGCTAACTTTTGCTGAAGACAAACCTACATATTTAGGAAAAAGGGATTAACATCTCAACTTCACTTGTCTTTGCCACATCAAGTTTCTCAAGGACTTAACAAGACTGTACGAAACCTGTGCTTGAAAATTTGCTTTCTTTTTCTTTGATTTAAACAAAAAATAGTTGTTTAAAAAGAAATGACAAAGAACCTTAAGAAACAAAAACGAAATATTGAGAATTTTGCTTTTTAAAGATCAAAATGATCTAGTATTAACTAGGTTGTGCCTCTGTAATGATGATAATATTTCTAAAAAAATGTATTTATTAATAAATAATTGTTTGTTTCTTCAAATTTGGTTTCTCACTAATCACAGGCAGCTTATCCATAGGTACGATTTGTCGGCCCGGTTCTTTTTTTTATTGGCATCGCTAAAAATCTCTTTCACTGCTCTTTCACTGACAGGGCGCTCGACTTCGAAACATTTACGATTCCTGATACATTAGAATCGTCGGGTCTATAGATAAAAAGGCCTGACGAGTGTCGTCATTAAACCGACATTGTAAACATTAATTGCCGTTTTTAAACTAGATTATAACGAATGCACCAGTAGCCCGTGTTTGAATGGTGGGACCTGTGTGAACGGTAACAGAAACTTCAGCTGCATCTGCCCTCGAACACATAAAGGGAGGACTTGTGAAGGTTGGTTAAATAGCATAGTCGAATGTATCAGTGAAAATGAGAAAATTTCAGTTCACGTCTTAATCATAAAGAAACTATCTTTATCCCTTTAAGCTTGTTTTTGGTGGGTATACTTATTATTAACTCTTTTAACAATTTATTAAGTAAGAGATAAAGCCCGAGAACGGAGGTATTAAGCCATATACATCCCGAGGGCCGTAGGCCTGAGGGATGTATATGGATTAATACCGACGTTCGAGGGGTTTATCTAACTTATTTCATGATATTATTCATGAGGTATAGGTTACATAAAGGTCGTCTTTCACAGGGCAATAATTGGCCACTTGTTTTTGACATCTGTTTGTTTGTCATTTTTTGATCCGACCGCAGACAATGACGTATTTCATTGTAAGTATTGTAACACAGAAAAAGGGCGTTTCACGGGTCATAATTTGTTCAAACCACTTTTTCTCACTTAGGTGAGAAACGGAGAACAATAGCGCATTGTTTGTTTGCTAAGCCGACAACAATCAGATTTCAAACCTTTTGTGTTTTTTTATTTTTGTCTTGGTATTTTTTGGGGGCCAGTACACTTGCGAGAGCGGCAATGGATAGTGACGACGAAATTTTCCTAACGCAAAATACTTTCTCTCAGGAGCCTTTTTCCCCTGAGTTGAATTTGGAAGAGTTGGTGGGAGACTTTAGAGAAGTAAGCGAACGAGATAGTGTTGAAGTCGAAAAGAAGGAAAATCCTGGGCGTAATATCGTTGTTGTTTGTGATAACGAAGTCGAGAAGAGAAGAGAGTCCAGAATACCGGCAAACACGAAAGTTAATACTTCATGGGCGGTACGTTGCTGGGAGGAATGGGCCGTCGAACGCAATGTAAAAGTTAAAAAGAATAGCAGCAAAGAGAAATACTACGAAGTCAATCCTGACATTAAGAAAGTCGCTAATGAGCAGCTTGACTACTGGCTTGGGAAGTTTGTTTTGGAAATTCGGAAGAAGAAAGAACCTGGAAGCGTGTAAGTGACGACGAAATTTTCCAAAGACTTAAAATTTTCTTAGAGTGAACACATAGCCTGCATGATATATGGGATACTACTGTATTTTCTATAGTTGCAGAATAAATTTCTATATTTGTGTTAAAGGGAGAAATTTTCTCAGAATGTTTGGCGGGGTCAAAGGACGTGTATGATTTGCTTTAATTGCTCATTATAAATGGAAGGGATTTATTTGTATATTGCCCAGGGCAGCAGGGCAATATACAGATAAATACCGGGTATTTATATAGATATTGCCCTTGCATTTATAATTAGCAATTTATTCAATTCATCAGCCCCGCTCTTCCCTGCTACATTATCAAGCCCTCCCCGGACTTTCAGTTAGTTAAATATTCATGAAGTATGTAAGTTAAATAAAGGATGTTGAATAACAAAAGAAAATGTGTGATTCATGAAATAATGGTGATTAGCCTTTTTAGGTTGTAAGTTTGTCTGTCAGACTGAAACAATTCCTGCCTATTTTACGGGAGTGAACGTTATCATCATCACTATCATCGTCGTCATCATTTTCATTGTTTATTATAATCATTATCATCATGGAATTCGATTTTCTCATGATATGAAGAATTATGGAGATCAAGGAGGGTATGCCAACACTCTCCGAGATCTGCATTTACAATTCTCGTCCACGCATAGCCGTGAATTCTTTCGCTATTTTCTTGAGCTCTACACTGATGTTCAAACAACTAAGTTGCCCCGTTTCTTTTTTGTGACGTTAATCGTGGATAACTTGCGTAGACGGCAATTATTGACGCCTGAGTGGCTATCGTCAAGGCTGGTATAATCTAAACATTTTCCAAATGACAGTCCAGTTTCCTAATGACAGTCGATTGACCGTAATTTAGCACTCATTCGTTTGTACAAACTATGTACCACTCACACCTTATTCTTTCTACGATTCAGAGTTCGATGAGTGCTCCAGTAGTCCCTGTTTGAATGGAGGAACTTGTACTGATGGAAAAAACAACTACACGTGTACATGTCCTTCCCCATTCCATGGGAATCAGTGCCAAGGTAAGAAAACACCAACTTTTCAACTCATTAGGAAATCCTGTTTTGTCTTGGTTATTTCGGTCGCCTGCAGCTGCATCTCCTTGTATTTCTTGGTTAGAATTATTAAGTACAATATCGACCGTCCATGTATTTACTTTCACAGGTTAGGGGGCTCTGGTATTGTTTGCAATCCGTTCCGGCGTGAATAGTTGAGAACAAACTAGCTCAATTTTTCTGCTTTAGGGAGTCTGTTGACAACTCAGTCTCTTTAAAATTTCTACTCTCCGAAAACTCAATAACAATATAACTGATATCAGAGCCGATCTATTACAGTTTTTGTAAAAGTTGAGACAGTATTTAATAACTTCAGTCTCCAAATGCCCATCAGACAGTGACATGCAAGAACGTTATAGCAACAACCAGTGGATCTATTTTTTAACAGAAACAGATGAATGTCAGTCCAACCCTTGTCAGAATGGTGGGACGTGCGTGGATGGGGTGTACACTTTCACCTGCTTATGTAGAAGCACTTACGAGGGCTCTCTTTGCCAAGGTATGAGCGCTATGTGCTTTAAATTGCATTTCTTTTTTTTTTTTTAGAATAGGATCGGAGCCTTTTTATCTGATCAAGGTTCAGTGGGTCTGGTCTTTTTTAAGTGTTGTTGTTTAGATATTGGTTAGGCTGCTTTACTAAAAGAGTTAGTCTATTTTCTCCTTTGCTATTTATCATTCATAGATCCGGCAGCGACGTCTTGTGCAAACCATTATTGAGCTGGGCGAACAAGCAACGGACTATATAACATCAAAGTCAGCGGCGCAACCTTCAAAGTATAAGTACTGCTAGTGCTCTTTCTGATTTTGATGCTCGTAAGATATATTATTCTGGGGTTGCTTTTTGAGTTAAACTTTAAGTTCAAAACAAGTTAACATATTTTGCTACGATTCAAATCTGCATTTTATTCGTGAACTCATTGCTTGAGTCCTGTAAGAAATTTTCCTTTATTTTCCATTGAAACAAGTGCAGAGATTATTAAAAGCCCGCAGGGCAAATTTCGCTGTAGTCGGCCGTCAGACATTGTCCACCTAATTTTGGAAATTGTCCGATCTATTTTACATTACGCTCGGATACGGGTTTTCTGTTAAAAAAAAAGTGAATTGTGACAGGATTGATGTGATAGTTTCTAACATAACTCGATTAAAATTTGTGTAGGTGTACTGTGACATGTCAAATGGTGGCTAGACACTTATTTCACGCTTCTCTAACGCTGACAGTAAAAACTGGATGCAATACAGTGGTAACTGGTGGTATGACCGAACAACATCTTACGGCAGTACTACCAATCCATTAGACAATTATGACATGATTTCACCGGCATTCTGGCTCGTTGGAGGAAATTCCATCAAAATGAGTCGCAGTGATTACAGCTCACACGGAGCTTTATTGTACACAGATCAGAATTGTCTTAGTGGTGGAACATTTAGAAACCGTATAACTGGTTACGGGAACTTCAGAAATGGCAGGGTGAGGAACAGTGACAGCTGTCGTGGAAGTTGTTATATTCCGGGCGGGGCTCATGGATATGGTGACTCTTCCACACCCGGATTTACTCATACTGATTGTAGCAGCAATCTTCAAAGCAGTCATTACGTGTCTTTCTGGTGCGATTGGAGCCAAGGTGACGGAGCCGTGATTATGGTGGGTGGAGGAGGTTCTTCGTGCAACAGAGCGGATCATGGGATTGGTGTTACAGAGGCAAATAGCGCTGTGTTTGGCAATCCAGCAGAGTGTTATGGCGACTTTGGTGATAATTGCAATTTTCCAACAAGTTACTCTATCAATCTATGGATCAAGTAACTTCGATGGAACATCTTAGCTTTACTTGAATAATTTTTTTTATTTTTTATTTTATTTTTGTAAAACAAGACACGCTTATTCGAGCTTTTTGCAACAACTAGTCGCCCCGTGTAAGGGAATCCGGATTCCGGAATCCGTGAAATAATTGCTTGTGAAATCCGGAATCCGAGACGATTTTGCTCGTGGAACCCGGAATCTTAGGTTTTGGAATCTGGAATACTGCTCAAGGAATCCGGAATCCCTCTAACAGTTAAAATCCAGAATCCAAATTTTACCAACAAAGACTAGAGCACAGTACCTGGAATCCGGAATCCACTGCATGGAATCCAGACTCCAAAACTGTCTTGGATGGGAACCTTACATGGGGCGAAATTAATTAGCGTTTATCAGTTAACAACGTAGATAAACAGATGAAAGAGTAGTAACCTGTGAGCAAGCTCTCCGGCCGTGTGGAGGAGTAGCGAGAAGTAGTTTGAAGAGACATGTTATTTCTAGAAGCCAGATAAGTAGAGGAAAGTGAACAAATCGCTCATATAAGTAATTAATGTGATGAGTTGCAAACTTCGTATAGCTTAAATTCACAACAGCAAAGAATGAAAAAAAAAAAAAAATAAAAGGAAAGAAAGAAAGAAACGCAATGTACTTACACACTAGTGTAATGAAAGAAACCTTCTTAGCCTTTCTGTTTATGTATCGTGGTTAGGGTATTTGGTTTTGGACGAAAGGCAAAAAAAGGGTCGGGCGAGAACATATCCTACCGAAGGAGAACAAAACGCTAACCATGGAATTGCATTTGCTTCAGCCGCATTTTTGAAACAGTAAGTTAGCTCCCATGAAATGGTTCAGTTGAGCTTTAACTAATTGCATCTATTTTGCCGTGTGTTATAGATGAGGTCAAAGTGTACCAAGAAATGTCCTGCGAGGGCTGGGTGACGTCTTCGGTCATCCAATTGTTTTTAAAATACATAACACAGAAAACCTTGAGATGCCTAGTAGTAATCACTTGCCATGATTATCACTGTTAAATTCATTAGTGTTTTCGTTTAATTTTCAAAACTCTCCCCGTGTTTTTGGAAGCTATCCGTCCGTCGAGGGTTCGGTTATGGGAGTTTTGTAAGTATAGAAAATTTACATGTAACTATCACAGTCCCCCAACTCCCCACCTCCCCCCCCCCCCAAAAAAAAAAAAATTAAAAAAAAAAAGAAGAAGGGGTCCCCCTTTTGGAGAAGTCCTTTTAAAAAGTTTTAAAATTTTAACATCCCCCCCTTTTCAGACGTTAAATTTTTGCATTTCCGGGGCCATAAAATTTTTTTTCTTTTAAAACCATTTCTTAAACCGCTTAATATTTCACTTTTTTTTTTTTTCGCCAACTCCCCCCCCCTCTTTTCTTTTTTTCTAAAGTTTTTAAATACACAACACAAAAAACGTTTAGATGCCTAGTGTTAATTCCTTGTCCTATTTATCACTTTTTTATTTTTTATTGTTTTTGTTTTATTTTTAAAACCCTCCCCCGTTTTTTTGAAAGCATCCCTCCCTGGGGGGTTTGGGTTTGGGGGTTTTTTAAAAAAAAAAAATTTTAAATTAACCATCCCAGACCCCCCACCCCCCCCCCCCCCCCCCCCCCCAAAAAAAAAAAAAATTAATAATAAGACGAAGAAGTGGTCCCGCATTTGGAGAAGTCGCTTATAACATGTTATAATTATTATACTGCCTACCTTTTCAGACGTTCAGATGTTGCATTTCCTGGTCACTAAATATTTTGTTCTTTTAAAACAGCTTCTTACACGAGTTAATTATTCAGCTTTTTTTTTTTAGCACAGACTCGCACCGTTTTCATCATTTTTATTAAAGGGTGCAATCTGGTTGGACTGGAAGCCGAAAGCTTAGTAACGTTTTGTTTTCCTGTGGTTCCTTAGGTGTCCCGTCGCTATATAGCCATTACCATCTCTATTTTTGGGTCTATCATTATGACTTGATTTAAAATCCTAACACACCTGTTGCGTAATTCTAATTGCACTAAGTCTCACATATTGTGGCGCGTTCAAACAGTTTCAAATTATTATGACTATTATTATTATTAACTGTCCGTCGTGATGTTAGGACTCCCTTGTAGTCCTTTATCTTACAACTAATATTTAAACCAGTAAAAGGGTTTGTAATTAGCTAAATGTGTATTTCAGTTCATCGTTTCTCAGATGATGTTTTACTGCCCAGCATCTTCTCACAGCATTATAATTACAGTTTGCAACCTCTAGTCAATATGTAAGGGCTTCACCAAAATTTTCTAAGCTTGTGTGTTCTCCATGCAGACAAGAAAACTTAGGTATAGGTGGCTCAACCCTAGGCTACCATCTTTCGATGCCCTGGGCCCTTGGAGCAATCCTCCCCGAGTAACATCTACAAATTGTTTATCATGAAAACAGGGACATTACCCTGGGTGCCAGAGGCTTTTCGGTTTCCGGTTCTCGTGTCTTCGACCTGTGGCCGACGAAGACCCTCGTCGTACGCGAGAAAAAACCTCTGGTACCCAGGGTACGGGGACCATTCAATTGCTTTTAAATGAAAAATATCCAGGTGTACGCCTTTTTCGTACATTTACAAACAGATAATTTAACAACATAAATTGGACAACCAGTCTTTTTACTCCACAAGAGGTGCTCTGGTCCCGGTTGCTCGAAAGATGGTTAAGTTAAACCCAGGATTAAGTCAGATTTTGAACCAGGTTTTCTTGTCTAAGAACATGTAACGCCAGCTAACAAAAGACTTTTGAGCCTTCAATCCGCCAGAGATAAGGTAATAATAACACAAAATCTTACTCTAAGCAATACATGGGAAGGAAAAATTCAAACACGGGACAAAATTTTAATCCTGAAGTAGCGCTAATCGGCCTTTCAGAAACCGGGCCCTGGCTACAAAATGTCATACAAAAAATTGAAGAGACGATACCGATACATTTCAAAAACAAAATGGAAACTGGTGGTTGCTAAAAAAAGTGCGAAACAGAAAATACAGGAACTGCGGAAATTTTAGTTTGGTGCAAAAAACGAGACTGTCTTTATCATCAACACTTTTTGCCCTACCTAACCCCTAACCTTGAAGTCTTTATTTACTTCATCGCTTTTATCGAATAAATTAGCGGAATACGCAACACACAAGAATGGTTTATTATGATATGTTCATTTACAAAGCGTTTATTTTTTCACGATCTTTCCTGTGAAACTGAATGGCTGACAAGAACAATCTTCAAACCTTCTATACCATTCTATGGTCATGAGGTGGTGTACTGATCTGGTTTTTCTAGTTTTAGTAGTACTCGCTCTAGGATTAAGGATCTGCTTTAGTTTGAAGACTTATGAAACAGAAAAAAGAAGGTGTGTGGTTTTTAGTCTTTGTTATTACTGTTTTTATCATGGGACTCGTACATGTCGACCGTATGAGTTACATTCGAATCCATAGCCGGGTGTTCTGCGAAACGTCGGATGCAAATTGACGCGTCTACATAGTTACATAGTTAGATAAAAACATTCCAAAATTATTCTTTTGGATAAAACTGGAATGAAACTACTTACTATTTTTGTCATTCGGATACGACGAATAAAGGGAAAACGGGCTAACGTGGTACAATTTCAAGCAACGTGATTCTAAATCTCTTTAATATATAGAAGAATCTTCATTGTGGATTAACTCCTTGACCATCTCCTTCTCTTCTTAGGTACAAATTAAATATGTAGCGACTATATTTCTCTGAGCAGTTAATGTTTGTTTAGTATCTTTTGTATTTTAATCCTTTCTTGCGAGAAAACATCCATTCGGCTTTCAAAAACGACTTTTTTGATGATGTGTATAGGCATAACAAGAAATGGTTTTATAAAACTCCGCGGACGCCCATTTGAAATATCTTGAAGGTGGTGAGGAAAAGAAAGATAGGCCTCAACGTTTGGTTCAAAATCGCTTCAGAAGAGGAGTTGGTGCAGCAGAGTAATTTTCAAGGAGTTATGATAACTCCTCTAGTAGGTTTAATTTAACTCCTTACAGTGGACTTATGTTTTAGGGGAGTTATTTTAACTCCAAAAAGGAGTTTAAAGAACTCTTTCTCAGGAGTACAAATCACCCCCGATATTGATCAAGGGTTAAAATAACCCCCAAAAAGGAGTTATCTAGCCTGAATTTCATCCGATCACTTCGAGACGTTATTACTGCCTCAGTATAACGTCTGAATCGACCGGCCGTTAATGCCGTCCAAAAACTTCACTACTCGTTTGCTTTAATTCATGTAAAAGACTGCAAAACAGGATTTTCAAGGGGCAAACCAAGAAATATCGTTTGGAAATGTCTACATGATACAGAATAGCTGACAGAATTGCTTTACTCTTTTCGACTGTAATTAGTCGTAACTCGTCGTCTTCCGCCCCTGGCAAAATAGGTCTCCCAAGACCTAAACCGGAAAAAAATTCGCAAAAAATTGCGTTACTTCCGATTGCTCCCAAATTTGGCACAACGGAAGTTAATAGATTTAGCCAATCACCTGCCTAGTTCCAGCCCCTGTGGACTTTTGACCGTAACACACTGAGCTTTCGAAAACTTCGAATTTTATGGCGAGTCGCGGGGAATTTTTGTGAGCCGGTTTTGCGAAGAATGCAAGCTTGAATCGACGAATGTCAACCAAATACAAGTCAAGCAAACTATGCTGAAAGATTTTGGAGGATAACAAGCAAAATAAACGCGAAAATTGAAGTAAGGAAACACTTAGAATCTGTGCATGCAAATCGCCGATCGCCGAACTCTGTGCCACATGTTCTTGAAACGGCGACGATTTCCTTCCCGTTTTGCCTTCGCTTCGCTTTTCGCCGTGCAATTCTTGCTTATTTTGATGAATTCTATCAGCAAATTCATGTCTGCTTGTCTCTAACTCGATATTTCTTTGGGAATCGAGGAAACAAAGCGTCTTAGTGAAGTAAACATGTGGTCACGAGGTGACGCCAAAGGATTATGCTAATTA